ATTTTGTCTACGTCATTTTCAAGCACATTTTATTCTTAGTTTTGTATCGTTCTGTATGTGGTTAATAATGTGACAATTCACGACAGCAACAAAAAAAACAATGCTGAAGAAAAGGCTAGGCATTAGCTGTAATGAGACCTAGTTAATCTTAAGTCTGATTAAGCTGTTAAATATATGTGAAAGAGGAAACGCGAATTTAAAGTTGGAATGAACATCATCATTTTGCAGTAGATAATCATAAAAAATTAGAGAACCCTAAAAATTATCTCTCTGTTACATGTTTATGAAAAAAAAAAATCTGGTATGATCAGTACCACTACACTTTATTATATCGAAAGGGATATTGTTGGTATTTCAAAATATAATTCATTATGAATAATAAAGACACCGTATTTTTTCAAGTTATTCCACGAATTAATCTTAGACATTAAATAATGCAAAGGCTAGTTCCAGAACTTTCATCAAATATGCTTAAACAAAAGAACTAACAAATACTACTTAATATGTCACCAATAAGTGATTTATGTATTTAAAAAAAAAAGGGTTTACACATATCGAATGCGATTGACACTTAAACTGTCTAATCATTTGTTTGAACCGTTTATTTGGCATAGACCGCATAGTTAATCACCTTTAACCACTTAAATGGCTCTTCAAATTAACTCAACATATTTAAAATTCGAAGAGGATAAAAAGAACATAGCGTCAGTCTAAAAAGTGACAATTTAAATTGTTAGCAAGACTATCAGAAAAATAAATGACGAGATTTCATGAACTTTTGTGCTCAAAAGACATTAATATTTTATGTATAAACAAAAAAAATAAATCAAAAATTTATTAGATGGTGTATATTTGGTTTTCCAACCTTTTAAAATGGAAATTTTGATCATGTCGTAATGATGGATCAGCATGTGTAAGAATAGAAACTCAGTTGCTCATTATCTACAATCATAAGTATTACATTATCATAAACTAATGTCCAATGATTTTCTCACATGTTAGACATATGGATCATGTTGATCAACATGCAAGTATGAACTTGATTATTCATCGTTGATCATATCATTACTCGGTTTCTTTTCTAACAAAAACTCAGCTTTTTAGAAAAGTACAAAATTTAACTTAATTAATAGTTACATGACAAGTTGGACAAGGAAAAAAAAAACAGTTACACAACTTGGCATATATAATTTTTTATTTTTGCCAGAAAAAACTTTTCTTGATAGCGACATAAAAATATATCCACCTTTGTGGCTCTGTATTACTAGCTCAACTCAATCTCGATTTAAAGAAGAAAAAAATTAGGTCATTGATAGTACAATTCATTCGCGCGGAGAATCTCTTAGTTTTCAAGATGTTATTCTGAATTATCGTTAGAAATAATTTTATAGAAATAAAGTATCAGATTGCTCATTTCATAAACTTAGCTAATCAAGTTTATAGATATGGAAAAGATTAAATAGCCACGAGACCGAGATACGATACATTGAATACCAGATTACATTGAGCAACCACAAAGCATAATAGAAAAGCAACACCAAAACCCTAAAGAAGTTCGACCGATGTGCCAAAACCCTAACTTCCTTGCCAACCATAATTATTATTAATTATTAATTGCGATTGTACATACTTAATTAAACAAGTACCCGACCCGATAAACCAGATACCCGGATCCATCAGGCAAAACTAACATTCCTTGGAACAGCCTTGCACTTCAAAGGCTTCTTCATCTCCATAGACAGCTTGAGAACCTCAGTGAGCTTAACATCACAAGAACCCTTAACCCATTCGAAATTCTGAATCAATTGACCAATCCAGAGATGAACAGTGGTTAGACCCATTGCTTTACCCGGGCAAACCCGACGACCCGCCCCGAATGGAGCCAACCTAAGATCCGAACCCATGATGCTCACATCCTCACCATCAATGAACCTCTCTGGCTTAAACTCTTCAGGGTCGGTCCAGATTCTGGCGTCGTGTGTGATGGACCACATGTTGACCATAGCTATGGTTCCTGCAGGGACAAGGTTCGGACCTACGTGGACATCGTGGATCGCAAGACGGGCCCATGAGAGAAGTGGTCCAGGTGGGTGGATCCTTAGGGTTTCTTTGACAACAGCTTGAAGGTAGGGCAGTTTTGAGATGTCGGAATCAGACAAGGGTCTAGTGTTGTTACTTGTAACGGAAGCTATCTCTTTGTAGAGTTTTGCTTGAATGTCTTGATGCAAAACCATTCTTGCAAGTACCCATTCCACTAGAATCGCAACTGTGTCTGTTCCTCTAAATATCATTTCCTAAAAAAACAAATCAAAAGATTGAATCGTTTAGAAAACAAATATTTCTAAAAACCCATATTCAAAGATTGAAACTTTATATAGATAATAAAAATTATTATATTCTCTAACCAAAGTGTATTAAAATAGCTTACCCAAAGAACAGCAATCATGTCAGAATCAGACAGCTTTTCTTCCTTTTGCAAGCCAAGCAAGACATCAACAAAGTCATTCTCCTCTCCATGGTGATTGTTAATCATCTTCATCTTGTGTTTCACAATTATTCTACCGACAAAAGTGTTGACTTGAGAGACCAGGGCTCTACATCTCTTCCTCACTCCTTGGAAGTCAAACCAACGAAGAACACCAAAGTGATCACTCCAGTTAAATATCCCAAGCAACTCGTAACCTTCACTCACGAGCCTCTCTAGAAAACATCCATCTCCATTAACTTCATCAAAATCGTAACTCTCACCGAAAACAGTAGTCATTACATTGTTCAAAGAACCAAAGTGAACAATTTTCTTCACTTCAACTTCACCACCACCAGCTTCAGACTCAACAACGCTTTTAATCTTCTTCACCATCTTCAAACCAATATCTGTTCTAACACCCTCAAAGCTCGAGATTCTTCTCGGACTGAAAAGATGTGTGGCAGAGATTCTCCTAAGATTCCTCCAATACTCACCATAAGGTGCGAATCCCATGGCACGGTGAAACAGAAGCTCGTAAGCTGACTCCTTAACCGGCCGGTCCGCAAAAGCAGAGCTGCTCAAAATCTCTTTAGCCGTCTCCGGTTCACTTGAGATAACAAAACGCGAGAACCCAACGGAAAACGCCATCAAACGAATCGCCTTGAAGCGTTTGGCAAGGGCTGCGAGTACGCGGTGAGGGTTGGAACCAGAGAAGACGGAAAGAGAACCAGAAGGACCAGGGATCGAAACACGGGTCTTGGATGACCCGGTCCAAGCCCATGCGAGGCCACCTGGTGAGAGGAAGAAAGCAATAGTGGCTACGAAAAGAGAAATCCAAGCAAAGGCTTCGAAAGTGACCAGATTGATACAGTTAAAGAACAGAAAGTAAGCTTCTGAAGTCATCTCGGGCTGAGTTATGGAAG